CGATGTTTTCCGTTTGTTTTTCGGTATTTTTCTGTTCTCTTTTCATTTTTGGTGTGTAGTTTGGAGACCCTCGGAGAAGAGGTTTTCGAGAATCTTTTGGGGAAGCTGACACCATTAGAAAAGGGGCTCGTTAGCGACACGTAGAAAAAAACAGAACTCAATCTCGAGTTAAAACGAGCCTAAACGAGCAAAAATCGTATAGTCGTGCAGTGCAGATTTCATCGCCGCAGCCACGACACTTTCTTTACCGCGGGCCGCGGCGAACAAAATTTGCCAGGTCCCAAAAATTCAGTACAGAAATCCCGCGGCCTCGGAGCAAGTCGCGGCCGCGGAGCTGTTCTTCACCGCGGCCAGCAGAGCTTCCCCGCGGCCGCGGAAGTCGCGAAAAACCAGATTTTAAGTGCAGATTTGTGTAATCGTTGGATTGGTTCCTTATCTTCTTATTCCCCCATTGGTTCCTTATCTTTCCGCCTATTGAGGCACCGGGAAGAATGGACTACCAATGAATCTTTCTTCCTTATCTTCTTATTACCCTATTTCGTGGATTGGTTCCAACATAACGGTGGAGGAGAACTCAAGTCAATGCGCCAAAAGACGGAACTTCGCTTCGAAAAGATTGTACCGTGGGAAATCCAAACTTTCTTCCGGCTAACAAATGATAGGGGGGAGTCAGTCTTGCGTTCTCTCTCTTAGGTGGGTCAGTCTCGCTCTCTCCCCTTCTGGGAGACGAACCCTAGGCCAGATAAAACACATAAGACTCTATCCTTCTTCTCCTTTATTCCTTCTTCTTTCATCTTTCTCTTCCATTTTTTCTTCCTTTTTTTCTTAGAATATAAGGATTAAGCTTGTAATTCAAATTCAACATTTGGAAGTGCGATTTATTGTAAGTTATTCTCTTTTTTTTTTAACTCATGAATAATGGTTGAATTGAAAGAGATGATGAATTGTGTTGAATTGATATTGCTTAGCCAATTATGATTGCTAGGGATAGGGGATGATTGTTCATGTTTGATGTGTATCTCTCGGGCTTGAATTTTTCGTTCTTATGTGCGTTGTATTGATGATGTATTGATGAATTTGTAGTCGATAGATTGATATAATCGAAAAGTGACATTTCGATCTTGCTATTGGTGACAGTTGGATGTTAATTTGTCGAGTTATGGTTTGTCAATTCTATATGATTAGTTGATTAATCACCTTCTAATTGACTTAGCGGCTTTCAGAACCGAAAGAGGAGAAGTCGTAGAAATAGGCTCACATGAGGTAGATGATTTCATAATTGAATAGTCTATAGGTTTTTGGTTGAAATACGTGCGAGTCGATGACCTGTCCCTTGTTACAAAAAGTTATTGTGATTGGGATAGTTGGCCTGTATTGTATGTTCGAGCTTGTACGCCTATGTTCCATCCCTTGTTAAGAAGAGTTATTGGGAGTGAAGCGCTAGATGTCTAAGCGAGAGTGTCAATCTCGAACCGAACAATTGATTGCCCGGTTTTGCTAGAACTTGAATTAATTATCCTCGACTCCCTAGCTTCTTTTTCATTGTTTTGTTCGTATTTCTTAGGTAGATTATTATTTTTATGTTATTTCTTAGTTGGTAATTATTCCTCCCATATTTGATTAGAATGTTTAGGATTTATTTTGCTTTTATGTGCTATCAATATCAAAGCTAAATTCCGAACCGCCTTCCTCGTGAGATCGACCCGGGGAACGAATTTTTTCGATTCGGTACTTGGTAAAAATAATAATTTGTGCTACAACAAATTTGGCGCCGTTGCTGGGGAAGGGAAGTAGGATATTTAGTTTTGGTGTTGATATTGTTTTGTTGTTTGTTTCTCTTTATTTTTGCATTTTTAGTGTTTTTGTTCTTTTTGTGCATTTTTGTTTTTTCTATTTTGTGTCTTTTTCTTCTTCTCTTTTTCGTGGCTACGTTGGGTTGTTTTGTTCTGTTGTGCAGGGATATGAATTTGAATCACGAGTATTCCTCCCCGCACTACCCCTCTTGGAACAGTGAGCCAAGTTATTGTGCCGGGTACTACACTTCACCCATACTCTTCCGAGCAGTGCTGGAACCAATTTCCAGTCAAGCAGACGTATGAGTCCAACAAGTTTAACGAGAAGCACGACTATTCTTGATTTTATAGAATCCAAAGCAGCTCGTGAAAAAGAGGCCGCCTACAATGAAAAACTTGATTGGGCTCTCGCTCTTTTGCAATCTCAGGCAGCCCGTAGGAGCACTCTTGAGGGCGAGATCGCGAACTTAGCGGAGCGCATTCAATTTATAGAGGATCGAGTTTTGTCTCCCGAGTCCATCATGCAAGACGAGTTTACATATATGGGTGGACTCCGAGAGGATACCTTCACGAGCGATGAAAAAATTGACCTCATCCTTGCTCATGTGGCGGCCCAAGCAACTCGACTAGAGGAGATTGAGGGTGGATGTACCAGATTGGTGGACTAGCTCGATGGGATAATGGATCACATTCAATCCGTCAAGCCACGAGTCGATGAGGCCTTTAGCATTAACTATCGGATTTACGAGGGCGAGACGGAAGAAGAGCATGATGTGCTTCCAGCAGATGAGGGTGATATTTTGATGGAGGTAACTTCTGAGCCCGAATTTGAGAGTCCCTCATTTGAGCCGTCATGCACCGTCGAGAAGGTCCCAGTGGTCCTGATATGCTCCACAAATGCTCTTATCTTTCCATT